GAAAACATCAAATCTCTAGGAAAGTACTTTTAAACAGTTGTGCGAGTACGTATTACTTCAACATTTTTATCTATCAATTGTTTCTTTCTTGTTAATTTCACAACTTACATAAATAGCTTTTTTTGTAATTTATCTATTCTAGAAATTTTCTAGAATACATAGAATGTCATTGTTTATAAAAAATAAGTTAATAAATTACAATTTTACTTAGTTTTTTTGGAAACTGATCCGTGTACTTTCTACACCCACTGTATGTAATATTTCAATGTTTACTTTTGTAATACTCTAAGATATCCAAATAATATTACTCTACGATGTAGATTATACCATACATTCTTTTCAAATATAAGCAAAGGAAAATGATTAAAAAATGAGAGAAAATTACGTAAAGGAAAGTTATGTTTGAACTGACTTTCCCGAGAGATTTTAACGGCATTTGCGTAACGCATAATGTGCATCTCCAGCGTTGAATCTCGGTTACCGTCATTAGACTTTATCAGTCGGAATTACGTGTTCGAATCACGGATTAAAATTGATGAATCACTGCGCCGTTATGGCTGCAACGTTATCTAGGAAATGTTACTGCCTCAATTTCTTTCGAGATACGGGCACACGAATTGAATGTCCAAATGGAGGCTTAAGAGAATCTATCTTCTGTTCCTTTTAATACACTTTCCAATCGTGAGTAAATCGTATTAAACTACTTTCGAATCTAGAAGCACGTTATTGTTTCATGAATAAATTTACGAACTTAATGTTAATTTACTGGTTGAGAGAGTTGAAGAATTGCTTATATCAGGAATATTATATTTTATAGTTTGATGTAGTTTTTTTTAATTGGAAGTTATTATTCTACGATTAAGTTTACGAACTTAATGTCAACAGGATCAATTTCCTTATAATAGGAATATCATATTTTACGGTTTGTATGTAGATTTTTTAATTGATTCACTATTTTCCCAATGAAGAATACAAACTTAATGTCAATTCATTATTATGCGACTTAAAAAAATGCTTGCAGAACAAATAATATATTACAGAGTTTGATGTAGTTTTTCGAATTGTGAAGCAGATTTATATTTTTACGAATAAGTTCACGAATTTAATGTAAATTTATTAATTAAGCGACTTTGATGAATCGTTTGGAACAGAAATATTATATTTCATATTTTATAACTTGATGCAAGTAATTTTGTTATTCTGATACAGTGGATTAAAATTAATGCGGAAGAGAATACTTGTGCAATAAACGATGATATATGCTTATACATTGATCAGCCTGATATTAACTTGAGTAGAGTTCCACGAACTCTGCTATAGTAGTGTAGAGAAATACTTTCTACGTAAAATAATAACTGTAAAGTAATAAATCTTTTTGAATTTCTATTTCTTATAGTTGTTGAATTAAAATTGTTGCTACAATTACCTATTCATGATTAAGAATTTTAGTGTGAGTCTAAAAATATTAAAAATTTACATTTCAACTATGCTGAAAAGGGTAAAAACCATTCCCACAAAGCGCTTAGTTTGTTTGTTCGTCATCTATTGAATGTGTATGATAATATGCGGTAAAGTATGAACAAAAAAGTAATAAAATGTTAGTCAAATATGATCACCAAACTTTGTGTGCCTGTCATTCTGTTAATTTTCACAAAAATTAAAATGTAAGGACGTCAATGTCTATACTAGAGTTTTGAATATATTAAAATTTTAACAATTTTTAGGTTGTTGTTACAACTAAATCTGTTATGACGAAATTGTGTTCACCACTTAGTCATCCCAAAGAAAAGGGGTCCTATGGGAAGTCTTGTTTTTTTTTTGCGTCAAAAACTACTATTTTCTAGAATGCTACTAACAATTTCTTCAGTTCATATAAAAGTAAATTAATATACAAAAACTTATATTAATCGACAGTTTATTTTTTTGTTATTGCTGGTTAAAAATTGTATACTTGATTGGTAACTCTATTTTTTCGATCAGTTTTGAGACAATTTTCATGAATACTAATAGAAATACGACAAAATGGCAACCCTTAAATATAATTTGATTGAAATATTTCAAAGATCTCAAGCGTCAAGACTACAAAAAATAAATCAATTTTTAACTCAGAAAGAAAAGAAGAACCCTCTTAAGTGGCACAACACTGTAACGGCACTAAAAAGAGAGTTATATGCAGAAAATATTTATAAAAAAATTATACGATAAATTATTTGCAAACTTTCAGTGAGTTTTGTTTTTTAATTATATTATTTATAGTCCCATGTCCTAGGCTATTATTTGTAGGTACATTTGGATTTACATGAGGATTAATATGCATGTTAATATATGTATCGTGTTTAACCCTTTAAGCCAAAATTGATTATCACAAGCCTAGCTTGAGGTGTATTGTTCGGGGCAAATGTAAACATCACATTTTGGTCCCAGGCTGTTAAATCGTAGCTTAACGGGCTAACTTATAGTTTTAGTCATTTGGATTTACATGAGGATTAATATACAGGGTGTCTACGTATAAGTCCGGACATATGCAGAGTATCAATTCTACAACATATTTCCGACAAAAAATTACTCGTACACATTTTCTTTGTGTCGCCTTATTCTCAAGTATTTTCACTGTTAATATTTTTTCTGCGTTTTCAACTTGACACTCTTTAAACGACCATAACACCACCAAATTACAGTGTAAACTTAAAACTAAGTATAACATTCACAAGAGCGTTAAATTTACCACTCCCCTGATGAAAAACTAAAATTTATTGCGTAAGTCTAATAAGTGAAAAATTAGGTCAAACTTTACATTGTGTCAATTTTAAAAAATTTGACTTTTTCTCTATCCGTTTTTCGGTTTTAAATACACAGTTGTTTGGCAGGCACTCTTCGGGAAAAACTTCCTCGATGTCTCAGCTTTTAAATGGTATTGTCAAAACAAACTATATGGTGGTATTTTCGGAAGAAAATGACGTTTAAATGCAGAAAAGCGTTCAAAATTCCCGCCTCCTAAATCAATACTTATCGGTTCTCCTGTGCCGAAAACATTGATTTTTTGCTGTGTGAAATCGATCGTGTTCCAATCTCCATATCATTTATCGGTACACCGAGGTTGATTTTGATTAAATAGTCTCTAAAAACAAAAATTCTATGGATACATGTTCAAAAACAATTATTCTTCACCTTGCACTCAGGCTCTACACACAGCTGGGAGAGGCTTGAGGTGTCCAAAAATCGTTTTTTTTCCTAATTGGGGAGGCTCGGGAGTGTCACTAAAAAATACATCGAACCCAATGTCAAGTTAATTTTAAAGTGACAAGTCGATTTTTGTTGAAAAATATCGATTTTCACCTAAAAACTCACGCTTTTCTGCATTCAAACGTCATTTTCTCTCTAAAATACCACAGTATAACTTTTTTTTGACAATACCATTCAAAAACTGAGACTTCGAGGATGTTTTTCCCAAGGAGTGCCCGCCAAACAACTATGTCTTTGAAATCGAAATCGAAAACAGAAAAAGTCAAATTTTATTTAATTTTCAAATGTAAAGTCTGACCTAATTTTTCACTTGTTAAATTTATGTAATCAATTTTAGTTTTGCATTAGGCAGATGGAAAATTTACCGCTCTTTTGAATGGTATACTTAGTTTTAAGTTTGTACTGTAATTTGTTGGAGTTATGGCCGTTTGAAGAGTGTCAAGTCGAAAACACAGAAAAAATATTAAAAGTGAAAATACTCGAGAATAAGCCGACACAAAGAAAGTGTCTAAGAGTAATTTTTTGTTGGAAATTTGTTGTAGAATTGATACTCTGCGTATGTCCGAACTTATACGTAGACACCCTGTGTATGTTAATATATGTGTTCAACCCCTTAAGCCAAAACTGATTATATCACCAGTCTGGCCCGTTGTGTATTCGGGCCAAATGTAAACATCATATTTTGATCTCAGGCTGTGGAAGCTTAAATCGTAGCTTAACGGGTTAACTTATAGTTTTAGTCATTGGTTTTGTAAGATTTATTGAACGTATAAACATGAAATACAGTCTGTCTCATAAGAACGTGTCGGCTATATTTCTGTGAATGTTTATATATTTGTACAAAACTTTATATGGGTCGAATCTACACCTAAAGCATTAATACGCATTTACCTAGTAAGGTGTCCAATCTCCTCCATTAGCAATTATAGCTTGGAACCGTCTGGGCATGCTTTCTATTAATTTTTCGTGGTATGATGCTGGAAACGACCTCCATATCTTTCGAATATGGTGTACAATTGCTCTTATTTTTGTGATACGCCTTCCTCTTAGTTTGTACTTTATTATCGTACGATGATAACGTTTTTCTCTTTCCATCTTTTATAGGCGCGACTTCGATGTTTAGGGTCGTTGTCTTCTTGCAATATCCACTGGTCTTTGGTTTGATTGAACCAACATTTCATGGATGTGAGAAAGTTCTCTGATATAATTTCAGCAATGTTTGCGCATTGAGATTGTAAATGGAGATACATCAAGTTCCGAAACCTCTTGCGATAAAGAAACTCCAAACATGCACTATTATGGGATGTTTCACACATCTTTGTATTATTTTTTTTTCCACGGACAGACCAAGCATGTCTAACAGGACACCAAGTCTAAAACGAACATTTATCACTGAACACTGTATTGCTCCAATCACAATCACTGCTTTCGTTAGTCGAGGCCAGATAATTTTTGACAAATTAGTCAAGAGCATGCCGAGACGGTGCCAAGCTATAATTGCTAATAGAGGATATTGGAGACCTTACTAGGTAAATTCGTATTAGTGTTTTAGGTGTAGATTCGACCCATATAAAAGTTTGTACAACTATATATAAATATTTACAAAAATATAGCCGACACGCTTTTGTGAGACAGACTGTATGTATAATTTGAAAACGGCAAAATAAATTGCGTTTTTAAATACATTAAAGTGTTGTGCCTCTTTAAAGATCAAAATCTGAAGACCTCTTTTGAAAAATCCTTAATTTAGCACTCACCTTCTGGCAAAGGATGCAGGGTCACCGCCGTCGACAAACGTCCGCTTCCCATAGAAACGAGATGCGGCGCTTCCGTTTGTACACGCAATGCTCGTCCAGCCTCGCGCACCTCAAGACCGGCGGTTGCCATACCTGGGCAAAAGGAACGAAATAAAAATCGCAATAAATAAAGCGGATTGAAATTAATTATACGGATCACGTCGCGATCCTCGTAACGTTATAATTTACTTCACAAAAGAGAGCCGTCCCGTGCATTCATTTCGTGTACCTCGGAGACAGGTGTCTCGACTCCGACTTTAAATACACGTTTCTCGTCGACGATTGGAATTAATATGTGGCTCCGAGCGCAGATGTTGATACGCGATCAAATTAATTTTACATATCGAAACTCGGGGCACTGTTCGCGCGGGTAACGCATTGCTTACTGTCTAATTAATCAATACGATTCCACCTGGCTCAAGTTTTTATCGGTGATTTATTATTAATGCTCGGGGATGAAATCGTAACGTTTCGAATCCTTACAGGTATTCATCAGATAATCTGATGATACATGTATTTCTTTTCTCTTTATGTGATTTGATTTATCGTCCCTTTTTTGTTCTTTATATTGTTGCGACGATATGAAGATGCCGCACTACAGTTCTGAGTTACATCGTCGCGACAGTGTGAAGATGTTGCGATGATGTGAAGTTGCGGAAACGAGTTCCCGCGCTTCCGGTTGGCAGGAAGCGGCAAACTTTTAAAATAGAAGAGAGCGATTTGAGAACTCAAAGAGAGAAGACGTTTCGTTACAAGTCTCCAAGATTATCGTTATATTGTTTAAAAGTTATAGTTTGTTAATAAACTTTATAGTTAATTAAAATGAATTATTGTGCTCCAATCCCCCGGCGTAACAATATGTATTTTTATCTCAAAGGTAAACCATAATGAGTATGAATTTTGAACATTTAATATTTTATGTAGCAATAAAGAATCTAACATTAATTGACTGACTTAAAATATTTATGTATGTATTTATCATATCTAACTGCATTTCCAAATAATCATTTTCAAATAAAACAGTGTCTTCTTTTCTTTGCTGGATCATATTTTTGACGGATTTTTTAGTAACGAAGAACGGAATTCTTTTTATTTTATTACTATTCTTTGTATCGTAGTGAAGATAAAAAGAATTGAAAAATAATACCGCAGAGGCAAATGAACTTATATTATACCTACAAAATAATAATATTATAGTAACATAAAAATGTAAAAATATAAAATGTAAAAATATAAAATGTAAAAAGTAACAAAAAAAAAAGAAAAAGAAAAAAGAAATGAAGAAAATTAAACGAAGTTTTTCCGTATAATTTAATATAATTTTTCGTTACAGTGTCGATATCCCTCTTTACAATTGTTACATGGCAATGTGAACATTCATAACAGTATCGTAGTTGCAAATTATTGCGGAATAATACGTCGAAACCGTGATTGCTGTTCGTGTATCGCAATTTGAAACGAAATGACTGCTTTTATCTTAACGATATCACAATGATTACGAGGCTCGATTCCAGTTTTCGCATACGCTGCGTTTACCGTAATGGTGATATTCGAGTGCGAAAAGTATTGAAACAACCGCCGTTTAATTAGACCACGCCGATTGAAATGACACCATTATGCAAACAAGTTTACATGGCTAAAGGAGGATGTTAAAAAATGCTCATTTTTGGCATCGCCTGGAAATGAAAAATTCATGCAGGATCTTTTAGAGTGTGTCCCAAGGAACAAAAAATGTCGGTATCACTTTCCCGAGAAACGATAGAAAAGTTGTCGAAAATGCGTTCAAAGTATGAATGTGATGATAACGGAACTTACGTATATTTTACATTTCGTCGTCTTCTTCTTCGGATATCGAACCGTCTTCGAAATAAGTATTAAGGAACTCAGCAGGCAGATGAATTGAAGCTTGAAATCGAGCAAATCCAAAGTGCCATACTGTATAATCATGGCTACATGGGAACAGCAATCAACAACGCGTACTCCGACTTTGTATCCACATGAGTGTGCAAGTATGGCTTCCAGTGCGGTTTTACTTTTATCAATTAGTACATATACAAAGTATTTTAAACTATTTGAATGTCGTGAATGCAGTTTGGTTTGAAGTAAAGTGGCGTTAATCGGTTTCACATCAATCTGGTATTTTTTAAAATCAATATTGTATGATGGTACTGCGACTTGAAATTCAAAATCTCCGCTTTCATTTTAATTATTAATCATTTTTAAGACGTTTCGATACTTCGATCAAGTTACTTTGAATTGGGTGATATTTTCCTTGCGGATCGTGGCTTTTGATTCTCTGCAGTGGAAACTCGGAAACCATTAACAGTTGAACAAGTTAATGAATTGAAATTCATTACCTAATATCAATATAATGTCGAAGTAATCGCAGGACATATAAAAAGTCGTTAAATATTTCGAGGACAGTTCGATATCCAAAGAAGAAGACGACGAAATGTAAAATATACGTAAGTTACGTTATCATCACATTCATACTTTGAACGTATTTTTGACAACTTTCCCATCGTTTCTTGGGAAAGTGATACGGACATTTTTTGTTCCTTGGGAGACACTCTAAAAGATCCTGCATAAATTTGTCATTTCCAGGCGATGCCAAAAATGGGCATTTTTTAACACCCTCCTTTTATATTATTTCTTTGGCTTCGAGGCGATCCAGTGAATTTCTTTAAGTCGTAGTGAGTTAAAAAATATTGTTACAGATTTTGTAATATTCAACGTTTTTCAAAGAAATGTTGAGGAAATGATAAATTACTTTTCGACGGCATTGTTTGGACAATTTTCATTGTTAATATGCGAATAGCAGTGATTTTCAAGTTTCTCATTAAAATATAATAATTTGATATTTTTATCACAGAAACACATTATTAAAGTTAGTAGCTTTTTTTGTACCGTAGGGCGTGCTTCAAAATATTTTTCGAGAATCCAAATTTTCAAACCTTCAGAAATCTATTGGCAATACTCTCGTTGTAATATAAATTCTAATTATTGCACAGAATTGAAATTTTCAGTTAATTTTTCTGTTTCATCCGTGAGGTCATTAGAAATATAAAAATATGAACAAATATTTGTATGCCGCAATTTTGACGTTCAGTTAACATTTTAAACAATTAAAAAAAAGTATTTCCATATTCAGATAAACGTCTAATATAAATATTTCCACAATGCAAGTATGACTTGGTAAACAAAACAAAAATATAGTTAAAAAAGACAATCCTTCGCGATTAAAACAAAACAAACTCCAAGTTTGCATATACAACTCTTTCAGAAATAAAAAGTCTTCTGCGAAGACAGTTTTTGTAAAAATCTGCGAACATCGTCAACAGTAAAGTAAAGGGTTTGTAGTTTTTTAACAATTAAAGGAACAACAAAACGTTGACTTAATCCTCTTCTCCCTATTGTCGCATGGAAGCAACAAACTACCCAACAGAGAGTACAAAAACAATCGAATCGGCGTAAAATGACTCGACGATTGATCTTGTCGATAGTACAGAAGAGATGGAATTGATTCGACGGGTGCGGGACGAGAAAAATAAGTGAAGAAGAAGGGAAGGAAGAACGGGAAGAAACCGGTCGGGTCTCCCCGTGGATGGCCAGAATTCTTTTTCTGTTATTTCCGTTCTTCTTCCTTTCTCCGTGATCTTCGTCTCGGAATCACGGGTCGTGATAAATTAGCGGGCATGCACCGGGAGTGGAGGATGAGGCTCGACGTGTCGTAGGAACGTGAGAAAAGGTACCTTCCTTTTTAATATGATCCTGATGCCAGTATAATTTCTACGTCCTTAGGTCAGATAGGTACGTATAGGGACTTTCGTGATTAGAAGACTTATTGCTAAATAAAAATAAATTTGTTAACTTCCTGATTTATAGGGAAGTTATTGTATTTGCCTCTAAAATGAAAAATCGATTTTTTTAGCAGATCTCCATGTTTCAAGGTCATTGGACTAATTTTAGCCTATTTTTAACAAATTGTTCGTGTGCGTGCGCGTGCGCGCGTATGTATGTACGTATGTAAACAAATTTTTCGTTAACGTTTTCTAAAAAACTAATAGCGAGATCGAAATGATCGATGATGCAATCAATGTGTATCAATCTAACTTAGAGCTGATTAGATTTTGTTCTAATTCGGTCCAGTAGTTTTTTAGTTTTTTTAAGAAAACTTAACATGTACAAGATACATGTATATACACATATAGGGTGCTCCAAAAGTATCGAAACAGTCAAATATTTCCAAAATGGAACATTTGTGAGAAAAATGGTTCAGAGAAATGTTTTAGGGTTTCAAAAATTGTATTGAATGATCGTGTCCGTTTGACCTTCAAAGGACCGGTCAAAGACACGTCAAGGTCAACATGATTTTTTTAACGGAACACCTCATTTTTTATCATGCACTGTGAAAGCTGGCTATGAGACCTTTTCAACACACTAGTTTCAAACATTTTTTTATTCGCGATAGATGGCGCTGTAATCGGAAATCGGGAAGTTCCTTGTGTGACCCGTAAAGTGTCGCATACAAAATAAACATGAATATATGAATATATATAAATATATGAATTAAGCGAGCAACAAGGACCCCACTCGCGAGCTCGCGAAGCGAGAAAGCAACAATAACCAGCTATTTATTATTGTTTTTACATTAATTATTTGGTCAAGACATGGGATTGGTGTTGCAGGTTCGTTTGGTGGTAGTTCGGTTGCTTCTTTTACGGAATAAAAGAAGAATGGAATGAAATTTGGACCACAACCAACATAACAAAAATTCAGATCATCATTCAGAACTTCTATCAGCAAATACCAACTATAAACCTCAACAGAAAAGAAAAATCTGTATTGTCTCGACTAAGAACTGGCCATACGAAAATCACCAACGACTACCTCATCACTAAAACCGAACTCCCCAAATGTCATTTTTGCCAAACCCACCGTCTAACAGTAAACCACCTATTATACGAATGTACAGAAATAAAACCAAACTCAGCCCTAACAGTGCAAGACCACATCAGAAATACAATAGACTTCCTCAAAGACATCAATATATATTCTAAGATATAAATAATCGCAAATAGTTCTGTCGCCAA